GTCTGAAATACATTACAGTAAATTGCCCTTAGGCAAGTCTAGCCTAGTGTTCAACACTTAGTACAAAGTAGAGTTCATAATTTGGTACAGACATGTGCCATTCTGTCACACTGCCAGCCACAAACATTCAAAAATCATGCAATTTTAAAAAGTTAAAAATATTAAATTTAGGATTCTTTTTATTTGTCTTCTTCAAGCTTTCCCCTGCAAAGATGAAACTAGGAACTTGCTTTTTTATTTTCTTTTTTAAATAAAAGCTGAAAATCTCACACAGTCACAAGACTCTAGGAGCTAGGGCTTTAAGAAAAAACATCAAATATCATGAGGCATGCAATTTAATCAGGAGAGTTGGCAACAATGGATGCTATTCTTTACACACGGCAAGTAGGCCCATTCAATTCTTCAAGTTCTACCTCGCCAGAAAGTCCTCAGACATTAGAGAATTTGCAGAGTGTAAAGTTAGGCACATATGGAATTTTCTGCAGGCTCAGAGCCCTACTTAGGTAAAGAAATACAATCACACCACATATTTTGTAGCACTATAAACAACAAAAAACAATCTTTTCAAAGAAGCCTTTAAAAATGGCAATATTTTGTACATCTCTAGCCAGTACGGTAGTAATTGCTGAAAAATATAAATTTAATCACTTTCTTCTTTCCTACCAAACATTTCCTTAAAGTGGAATTAGGTGTAAATGTAGAGAGAGCTTCTAAAAATCCTTGTGTTTAACTTCTCAGATCAGACAACGTATTATTATGGCATACTCAAATTAAAAAAATACAGCCGTTCAGTTCATACTGTGTGTCATAACTGGCATCACTTCTGTTATAGCACCACCCTGCAAAAAAATGGAAAATCTTTCAGCAAACTACAGACTTTGATTCCTGCAGTTTTCTTTCCATCAAATTGTGTAGTAAGTGTTAAGTTTTGCCATTTTTATATGGTGATGCTTTAGCAGTTGTGGTGATGTCAGTTATAATAAGGAATAACAGATGGGCTGGAGTGAAGAACAAAGTATTTTCTAGCATCTGGATAGCTGTAGAAACAGAATAAGTGGTGCTTTTATTTTTAACTCCACCCACTACTACCCGTTATTTGATTGCATTTTTACATCTTTTATACTTTCATTCAACTATAATCTTTCTTCATATTTTTCTCATTAACTTCAGTTCCTGTTGCCTTTGTGGTGTTTGCAGACACACAGCTGCATACAATGCATTCACCTAACCACACAGTCCACTATATTTTTGCAGTAGAGAACAAGTCATAACTTCAACTTTGAATCTGGACCAGGTTTACATTTTCTCACTCATAAATTAATCACACATTTTAATTTTCTTTTTAAAAAATTATTGGAAGCCTAAACTCCATAAAACCCAGCATATTTGATTTTTTAACTAACAGTTAAACTTCATACTTTTGAACTACAGTATTTTGATTAAAACTTTCCATAAAAACGTGCTAGTCAAATTGCTAGACTACAATTCAGTTTCAAACTTACAGCTCAATCCTGCAGATGCACGTACCTCAATTCAGCTAAGAATTTAAGCACATGCTTTGGTGAACAGGGATAGGCTGCTGAATTGGTGCCTTAAGCACGTACATAATTTTACACACAAGTAGTTCCATAAAGTTATGTACGTGCTTAAACGTTTGCCTTGTCAGGGCCCACGTTATAATCATATGCATGAGATAAGGCCTCGTTCTGTGTGGCTACTGAAAAGTCTAGAAAGAAGCACACACATTTTACTTGTTCTAAGTAAAAAATACAGAAATAAATTATTACAGGATTTACTAGACAATTTTGTTATGTAGCTCTAGGAATAAAAATTATTGGAGTCTAAAACATTGCAAAGTTTAGTTAGATAATTTTGCTAGAAAGCAACTTTTTTTTATTTAGCCACTGACTCATAATAAAGTAATTTCCTAGTTACTAATTAATTACTTATAGGAACAGGTTTTTTTTTAAATTTAGAGCAAGTAGTAAGTTTATCACATGCTATGGCAGTTTCCTCTCAATAGTTTGTTTCCCTTCTACATGTAAGAAAATGAACATACATGTAAGTTTAAGTTCAGTGGAAGAGAGTATCAGTACCAGTCCCTTGGATGAAGGTACTCAATTTGTCTTGCTTTTTAGTATCATCCAACGTCATAGGGCAAGTGCCAGACTAGTCTGGGGATTTAGGAGGAAGCAAAGGACAGGAGCAGGCAGGTAGGGTAACGTACCTCTCCTCTACAAATAGGCTTTTGAACCTGCAGATAAAGTGGCAAGAAAATTCTTGAAAGCAGCCAGTCATTCTCCCTGCTCTCATGGTCATAAGGCAAACAACCCCATAAGCACATCATGTGCACATAGTGCACATGATGACAGATATCAAGCTTCTTCTCCATTCCATACACACTCTGCTTGGCTATGGTTATCATTGATGGATGCCCCCAACTGAGGACAACAGGGCTAGAAAACCAGAAACAAGTAGCAGAATGAGAGTGTGCACCAAACACATACATACAGAAAACAAAATTGAAAAAAAAATAAAATCAAACCAGGCAGAATGATACATGTGAGAACAAGAAAATGGTCAAAAATAAAAGAGGAGAGGTAGCAACAGCAAGGGCATGGTGCAAGGGTGAGCACATATTCACCCCAAAAGGAGGCTCCAAACAAAAAAAGGTTGGATGACTGAAGAGCTGAGGACAAGACTTCCTGCCTTTTTCATAGTTGTACCATAAGCGTTATGATGCTGATGTTGGGGAAAGCTACTGGGATCACAAAAGGAAAGCAGCTGGTAGGAGGAAGAACATATGATTTGGCCTACTGCAGCAGACTATCATTCCAGTAAATTGGATACTTGTCTCCAATAGTTGCCTTACAACTCTTCTTGCAATGCACCTAGCTGATTTTGCAATATGTACAGAAAAGGGGAAATTCCTGCCTGACACCTGCAGTGATCAACTGGTACCATGAAGCACAAAATACGGCAAGCCTTATTTTATCATGTTTAATTACAATGCTGGTCATAAGAATATTCAGTCCTTCTGTAAATTCTATTAAGGGATAGATGGGAGAATTACAGTTGTGTGAACTATTTTAACTTTTCTCAACGTTAATAGCAAGAGCCGGTAAAAGGAGATGCTATAGCACAGCCAATACTACCCAATGTCTTGTGACAGAGACATAAAATGAGAGCAAAAAAAAAAAAAAAAAAAAAAAATCCTTCCCATATAAATAGTATTAGAAAGAAATTTCAGATCTGAAAACTACTTTCTGTTGTCTTACAAGTTATAAAATTGCATATTGCTACTTTAGATTAATTTCTTCAGCCAACAATTCTTAAGTGATACAGTAGTCACTGCATTTCTACATTTGAGTCTGTAAAAATATTCTTCACCAAAGTTTTTACTACATTACTTATAAACTTCAAACAGATGCTTAATTTTTTACTATTCCTTAAACAGAGTCATGACCTAAAATATTAACACACTAGCCTCTGAGTAGATGACACACATGCGGTGGTTGGCTGATGCAGGTGTTCATACATTAAATATGGCACACTGTCATATAGGTTATGGCTCATCCCCTTGATAAAGAAGATGTACAGGAGGACTATGGTGGTCTTTTGGAGTTGAGTGGAGGGTGAGTAAGGATTTAAAGCACAGATAAGGCTGACTAGTAAGTTAAAGTGAGAGCATATTTGAAGAAGACAGAAAATAATTGACTAAACAAATGACTTTCAGATGCCAGGATGAGTTTGCTGGGTTGGCAATTAGGGGGGAAAGATTTTTTATTTGCAAGTTTACAAAGCAAATTTGATACAGTGTCAATGAGATAAACATGGAACCCCACAATGTCATTTTTTACAGCACCATTTTTCAGGAGACAAATATAGCCAGACTTGAAGTTCAGTACAGAATTAAGTCTGGTTTCACCTTCTTAAGCGGTCCTGGTTTGTTTTTAAAGTATATGCCCTACTTTTATTTCATGAGTTTTAAACATTTGAACTTTTTAAAAAGAAATATGTTTTTCCGCACCTAAAACGATTGATACATAATTATTACCTTAACTCCATCTTAAAAAAATTTGCATCTGGGAATTTAATATTTTAAGAAGTTCTATAGATACCTTTTCTTTTACGGTAATAAATGCTTTCTATTTATTCTTCAGTGAACACACAATTCCATTACTAAATAAAATTATATTTACCTGCAAGATAGTGAAAGTAGAAGCTTGTACTCTAGTAACTTTCACTGACTTGTTCTTACCTGTTACCCCTTCTAAAAAGGAGCACTGAAATTTTAAAAATGCTTAATACTTAATTCTTAATACTTAGTTCTGTGAGTTTACTTTTACATTTGGTTAAAGAGAATCTCTTCCTCATGAAGGGCAAGTACAGTGCTTTCACTCATGGATAAAATACCTATAAAATTCACATGAGAGTAAATTACTGTCCAGATTCTTAACCCCAGATTTCCACTCTCAAGAGCAAGACAGACTGAATACTCCTCTTGGGAGCTTGCTGCATCTCATGGATAGTAAGGGAAAGGAAGAAGAGAAGCTTATGGTGTAAGGGCAGTAATGGGAGCAGCAGATGTGATATCCTGGCCAACTGCCTCCACCTCAAAGGAAACCCAATCAATCTGTAGCTCCTGTTGAGTAGTCAGAATTACTAATAATCTCTAGTTTAATCAATAATTTGCTCAGAGTCCTCCAGTGTCTAGTCATTCTGAGAAGAGCTCCAAATCAATGGAAGTTTTGCCTTCACTTACACCAATGTAAAGTAATACTAATAATTGAACAAAATTATTCCAAATTTATCAGAAATAGCATAAATTGATCCAGTGAATATACCACACAACATACCCAAAACTATATTTTTTCCTTTTATAAACTACCTTTTTTTTGTTAAATACTATAGAAATGCTTATTAGCATCTATAGAAATTTTTTTTATTTTTTGCTGGAAACAAATCTAAAAAAATGAAACTTTTACAAAGTTACTTACTGTAAATTGCCCACTTTTACAGCTACAGGAATATGGGGAAGCTGAGTGGCCCACTTCAATGTCACATCCTGATAAACATGCAACATGTTATTATGGTTTCCAACCAGAGTGTTTATTGTTCCTTCAGACACTGTTAAAAACATAAAAACAGTTTTAAGACAACAGATGTTTTCATGAGCAAGTGTTTTCCTTTCAGGTTTACATTATTTTCCATTTTTGGGGGAGGGGAGGGAAACCCACTATTGCATATATGTGAACAGATTTGTTTTCCTTTTTATTTATAGATTATTAAGCAGTCAAAAAAACCCAAGAAAATTTCATAGACAATAAGCAAAAATATATGTGATTAATCATCATGGACACCGATTATAATTATATCAGTGTGTGAAATATAAAAAGAAGTGCCGGAGACATTTCTGCTACTTCCAGAACTATCACTCATAAGGGTTAGTACCAGAAGTCCCTGAATGCCCCAAAAGTAAAATGTCATGGATTTGTCATCATCACTATGAATGCACTGGTTTAGACATGGCACAACACACACATTGGTTAAGTAATTTTAATCAATCAACTGTCTATCACATGTTTACACAAGAAATTACAAAAAGTAAAATAAAGATGATTATGAGATTGTTTGTAAAGTTTAAATTAACTAATTTAATATAAGATTTTAAAACTTATTCTTTGCTATTCTGGTACCAACATGGAACTATAGATTCTTAATTCTGGTCTTTATCAATTTGTCAGCCAAGCTTTATACCATTCAACCACAGAATCAGAGCACCTCACAAGCATTTATCCTTACAAGACCCCTGACTTTCATGCATTCTTGCTACATTTGAAGCCCTGAAAAATTAATTGATCTCAGCTGCTCTGAGGTACCACACAACATGCTTGAATACCTTAATCTTGGTGGACTTTATATCTCTTCTGCCCCGACCTTACGTGCCTTATACTCTAATCCAGGCAAGATTTTGCTCTTTTTATTTATCCATAAGTGACTTGCAAGAAAAAGTAGCAAATAAAACACAAATTTAAGGAAACTTGATTCTTTCTGTTCTCTGAAAAATTATCCACTGCAGTTACAAAATGTCAGGTACAATTTGAATTCTACATAAGCTTTTATATTAATCCACAATATATTCAAACGGTTGTATCTTCCTAATGGAAAACATTCTTAGTTTTAAGTGTAACTATGTCAAAGATTCTAAGCTGAATTTTTCTTTTACAAACCTGAACAATAAGGAAGGAAGCAACTTGGACTGCAATCAAGTTTTTTCATGAATCGAATTTGCCCATTATCCTTAAGGCAAAAGAAATTTCTCTCGCCAAGCACAAAAACAGAGGAGGTCTGATTTAAGGAAACAACGCATATATCCAGTGCTTGCTCTCCAATGTTTAAAACCCAATCCATCTTCAAAAGAGAAAACATAACCAAAGATCAGTTAACAGCTATATGTATAATAAAAGGCTTAAAAAGAAGGTTCAGTCTACATCAAACCAAATCAATTTTCAGCAATGTAAGTGAAAAGACACTTTGGGGGCGGTAAGGGGGAAAAAGGTAAAATGTTCTACATTTTAGATGCATATTATCTTCAGGAATGTTGTGATCTTCCTGATTCCAAAAAATAAAACACTGCTGGGGGAAGCGGAAATAAACCAGCCCACAAACATTTTATGAAATAAACCATAAACATATGCTGTGCAATTCCCTCTGTAATCATATTTATTGTTCAAAAAATAAAAATGCACACATTGTCCCAAAACAAAAAAAAGCTTTGAAATCTGGAAACAAAACACAAGGTTTCCCATTCTACTAACTACTTAAAGTCTACCACGTCCTTTGTGTCTGCCCTTAGGTACTGATACGTTTCACCACCTTGTTTATCAGCTCCTATGCGAAGTTATATCCAAACCAATCCAAATGTGCTGAACAAACACTTGACTGATGCCAAGCTGGTTTAACAGGAGAGCTGATAAAATTCTCAGTTCAACTGTCCTGTATTTTGTGGTTTTGAATCACAACTTTCTACCACTGTGATTAAAAAAAATGAGGAATAACCTCCTTCACAAACATACTGGTAGAGCTGAGGTAATAACGTGCACCTTCCATTTTAAAATGCTAAAAATGGAAAGGGAAATCAGGATTATGTTACATCATCCACTTTTCGGAAAATTCTTTCTGTTCTGGGATCAACTGATACCTAGGCAATATGATGGGTAACAGAAAGATTCCATAAAGTGTTTGATTTTTTTTTCTTTTTGCCCTGTGAAATTCCAGTACTTTGTTAATTTGATAGATTCAGATTTCCATTAAGACTCCAACCAAGAATTATCAGAAATTACCCCCATAGGTCCTTCAGTTACTTTTATAAGTTTAGTGTCTAGCTTAATTTACAGTCCCTCACTGGTAAAATTGTATCATCCTCCGTTCAACACAAATTTCAATGTACTTCTGGTAGTGGGATCAAAGGTGAATTCATAATCTTTTTGAAAGCTCTATCAAGTGCCATCAGGAACATGGGGCATCAATCCTCCTTCTTCAGTCAAGTAACACAAAGGTTGATGATAGTTACAGAAGAATTTTTGAACACTCACAATGTAGTTCATGGCTTTTGTCTACCCTCAAGAATAGCTCTATATCAACAATCAATGTAGCTGAATTCCAGAGCCTACACAAGCTCATGCAGAGATTTGCACTGATAGAGCTAGTTGAAGCTTAGCACTGTTTGTTCTTAATTTAAGAGTGCAAATCCCTCATGTCCCTGCCCAGTGCAGCTACACCTATTGCTGGCCACCAGCTGCTGAATTGAGGCTACCCCTGAGAGTAGACAAGGTCTAGAACTGTGTTAGCAATTATTCCTTTCTCAACATGATTTAGGTAAGAGTTCTGGACCCCCATCCATCAGAAATTTGGGGTGAGTGAACATGCGAAGTTCTCATTTTTTTCTGTCCTATTTTTATTGCCTCAGACAAAAAAGATCTTCTTGTACTTTTTTCTGCATTCTTGGATGACATCTTCAGCAATCTGCACACAATATTCTTTCATTTTCTTTTCACAGGCAGAGGCAATTACACTAGTTATGCATTTCTCCATCTGTGTGGATACTTGTACACATTATCAGCTGGTATTGTTTATGGTAAAGTGTACTGCAATGCACTCTAAGTGGGGTTACATTTGAAGACTGTTCTTTGATGCCAAACATATTACAGAATACAGTCCTCACCTACTTAGCAGTGTTAGTCAAAGGGAACATAGAGACTTGTTATCCAAGAGCTGGTTCTCTACTTGCTTCCATGTATAATTCAAGGTGTTGACTTTGATTTATATAGTACAAAAATGTTTGAGTTCTGACTCTTCCAGAGACCACCTCTCTCCCCATGTGTCATAATGGAAGATGAGGTCAGCTGGACTACTTAAGCTAGCACTTTCTGGAGTATCTTAAATGATCAAGCAGTTGTCAGTGCAGTACCACCGAGACGGGAATTCCTTTTCCCCACTAGTCCAAAATGGCCTGAGTATGTTAGTCTTAAGGCACGATGTAAGAGACATTAGTTTCCCAGGTTTTTCACTGCAAGGGTCGGGGGGGATGAGCGAGCTGGCTATTTGGGGAAATGTCTTTTTCCTAGTTAACTAGTGTTCTATTTAACGATATACATGAGCCACCAACTTTAACAGGGTGCATTTTAGAAATCTAATAAACTAGTCATAAAAAAACTTTACATTTAAAATCTAAGCAAAATTTCATTTACACATATTTCAGTAGTTTCCATCTTGATAGGAATTAACATGGAATTAACCCTGTTATGTTAATTTCTCCTCTCTTAAAATAGAGGGCTTAATGAGTATTTAGGACCCAAACCAAATAGGAATAAAATTTACTCGAGTCTTTCCATGGTCTTAAATGGAAGTTAGATCTGGCCCCTAGTGACAATACAGTGTTTCAATCTGTCAGCTAGTCTTCTCTCTTTTTAATATTTATCCACTGTAGATTATATTTTATGTAAAACAAACAGGTCTTACAACAAGTCTTTTTCCAGAACTCAGTTTTTGCTGCTCTGTCTCCTTTCTTTCATCAGCATCTGTTGCAAATGCCAGCACTTGGTACCTGTTATAAAAAAATACAGATAGTATCTCTTTGCAGTTTATCAGTTTTACATCAAATGTTTAAAAAATGTTCACTATAAAGTTTATGGCAAAAGCAGAATCCAAAAATGTTGTCAGAAAATCTACTTTACAATGTATCTGTTGATATCATCATTCTTACAGAGCACATGCACTGAAGTATAGTATCTAGATAACGGATTTTAAAGTAGTATTTAAAACATACTGTCAGATTCAGATTTTTTTACCTTAAGGATACATCCTTATCTAGTAGTAGTGGAAAATTTAAATTTTTTAACTTTATGTAACACAAACAGTCTGTCGGGGCCAGCATTGAATCGGGGACCTGCGGAGCTTAGCGCATGAACCTCTACAGCATAAGCTAAAAGCCAATGCCTGTTAGATAAGGCTGTAGAGCAGACTCATTTTATCTAAGTGGTCTCTGTGCCACTAGATAGGACAGAACACCACACCCAGAAGGTGCGTGGGTTACATTTACATTACCTTTTTTTCCACAAAAAAGTTCAGATTTTATTTTGTTTGTTTAAATTTAATGTTAGAGGTGGATGCTATAAACGAGAGAGAGGCCAGAGACAATTATAGCATTTTGAAAATAGGACCTTACAGCAGTGAGAAAAAGTATAAACTTTCCTCATTTCAAATAATCTCTAATTTTAAAAAAAACTTAAACTAAAGCTCAGACAAAGTAACACTTGCCTACCTTAGAGACATGTTTGAGAATTAAATGGTTCTATTCGGAAATGTGTCTCTGTAAAAACAGCACTGGATGAGTTGCATAGGTGTCATTTTATAACAGAGAGCCCAGCAAACTGAGTCAAGTTGGCTTCTTTCTTCTCACTCATTCATTATCAATAGTAATAAAAATTATGCAGGCCTACATCTGCCCTTATTTACACTTATGCAACCCCCACAATGCTCAAATTATGCCCTCAGTGAGACCTATACAATTCCATTTCCTTCCTGGGTTAGCACTGGTGTAACTTAGTAAACAACCTTGTTCCTGTTGCACGAGGAATTGAATCAAACACTCTCTCAAAAAAAAAAAAAAAAAAAAAAAAAAAAGGAGTACTTGTGGCACCTTAGAGACTAACCAATTTATTTGAGCATAAGCTTTCATGAGCTACAGCTCACTTCATCGGATGCACAAGTACTCCTTTTCTTTTTGCGAATACAGACTAACACGGCTGTTACTCTGAAATCTCTCGCTCAGTTGGCTCTGCAGATCCAACAGGAATAAAAACAGTAAAAAAATATGTTACTCTTAACACACACACGGGATAGATGGGAAAGAGTAAGACTTCCAGTTTTACAATCACTTTTCAGAGAAGCAGCACACTTTAAAGCACTTTGAGATTAAAGTGTAAAGTATTATCATAATATCATGAGCCAAACGTATCGAAAAGTAAGTGTAACAGGTATTCAGCACATAGTTGATTTTAGGCATGCATGCTAAATGCCTTTATCTTTATCATTTAGCACACAATCCTTCAAGTCGATAATTTTCTTAATACTCTATCTGGCCACTTTTAAGACATCACACTCCCTCACAAAATTAATCAATGTATTTTAATAATTTTTGTAAAGCTGTACCTATAAATTAGGGCCCACTACTGGGAACATACTTAATCAGCTCCTACTAAAATCAGGCTCAGGCCAACAGAGAGTTCCAAGTGCCACAATTCTCCCTGATGATTTCAGTAACTTAACATCATATTAAATATATTTTAGTTTATTCCAAAACAAAGTTAAATACTAACACAATCAATGTTAACATTTCAGGTTTATTTCTGTATTTGTGGCAATGGCAATGGCTGCTAAAGGATTTTTCTTAGTGGTTTTAAACTTTATTTTATTTTTACTAAAGAAGATTTTAAAATTTCTATTCAAGTTGAGAAACATAATTGTTCAAAAGCAATTTTTCTATGGCCTAAATAAAAAACTAAATAAATTGTTGTTGGAGCTACAAAACAAATATTACCATATCTCTTTCCAACTTTGCCTTCCACACAAGCAAAAACACTAAGTTTTCAAACTACAGAACATTTAAAATAGATGTTGCAAATTCTGAGGTGGGGGAGGGAGGGATCTCTCTTCACCACACAAGTGTTCAATTACATGATCTTAGGAACCTGACTTTATTGTTCAAAGTACTGAAGCAGAAACACTGGACCAAATACAGTATTATTTTATAATATAACATGGGGGTGATCTCCATTTTTCAGACCAGTCTCACACAAATCATAAAAGTGCATTGATATCTATGAAATGACTAACTGAATGACAGTTCCTTGTGACACTAAAATCTTAAAACCACAGAACCCACAGAGGGCAAAACAAACCTATCAAGCTATTTAGCATTCTTTCATGTCACATCACATGTAAAATAACTTAAAAATGGAGAGAGAGGTTACTTTCAGAGCTTGAAAATAAGAATCAATTTAATAACCCTTGCTTGCTGAGGTGAAGGCACTGTACTGTACAAATCTCAGGATAGCAGAGCAATTCAGAGCAGGACAAATTGTTCCATGTTGCCATGTTAGAAAATACCAGTCTGGATGGCGGCATGTTGAGTTTGCCAAAATCAAAAAGACACGTCATTTCTTTAAAGTAAAACATTAAAAATGAAATTTCTTGTGCTTTGCTACAGCTGGGTCCTATTTCTCCCTCACCTTTCAGGGCTCAACTGTGCATTCAGCTTTGAGATATAACTTATGTGTAACTCCCTTCCAGTATCCTCCCCTTAGTTTATATAGAATATTAGTAAATCCTACTTTGCAATGTACCACAATACTTCAATAATTATATTACATTATGTCTTTCTCTCAAAGTATTGTGGCACATTACATGTATCAAAATCCGGAAGGATCTCAAAGTACTTCACAAACTATACAGCACTACTAAAACAAACCTGTGACAGATATTGCAACAACATGCAGTATCTTTGGGGGAACACATTGTATTAAGTTTATGTATCACTGCAGGCCAGTGATAGCATGTATGATTCTGTTCTACTCCACAGGACAGAAATGAAAACGATGGATGATGATTAAGATGAATTGCTCACATTGTAAACACCTTCAGAGAGGTACGACCCCCTATGAAGGTTTGTGTAGACTGGTTCAAACTGGATTTTCGAGAGACCAATAGACAAAGAAAGGGTTTTTGGCATAAAAAGGCGGTATATAAATGGACTCAGAGTTTTCTTTCTGCAGCAAATGGACAAGGCATTCTGTCCAAGAGCCCCAGCCCTTGCAGAAGGGTCGGAAAGACTTTGACCTACCAGAATACCATAAGATTGATGGATGATCTCTGGTAAGCTTTTTGCAGGTATATAGGAACTTATTGTTTTTATAGGTTTTGCTCTAAGAATAAATGCAGTTTGTTTTGTGAAAGCTGATTGGTAACCAGTGTACTCTGTTGTATCCCAGGAGAAAGCATTAACAACCACATGTGCTGGACCCCAGTTAGACCTGCTGGAAAAAAAAATCACAAAGGAGATGCAGAGGTACTGCAAGCAAGCCCCAATCTGAAACGAGAGACAGCTGGGTCTCCACCCCAAGAGAGGTGATGGGTAGGAAGCCTAAAGCCATAAGAGGGTGCCCTCCAGGAAGACAAGGGGTAGGAGGGAGGGATCAAAGGCACAGTTAATCCTGAAACTGTGATGAAAGCCACCACTGAAGTGAATGGTGACAGCCAGGCAGACAGAGGGAAAGTTTAGCCAAAGAAACCAAGACGTCAGTTTTTAAAAGGTCTCATCTGGAAAATTCACAAACAGTAAATTCTACTGCTATCAATTATCCATCTTGGAAAGAACTGACTCATGCCAATTTTCTACTTATTTCACATCTTTATACCATTATACCTTCCCCCGGTCAATGCAACTGAACAAACTTTACAGCCTATTTAGTATCCAGGAGTCAATACAAAATATTCCCACTAGTAGAAAGCATAAAGGGCTCCATTAACTGAGTATATTGTTTGAGAGATAATAGAAATTCTGGTGCAAGAGCAGTAAATATTTATTATGGCAGTAAAGCTCAAACCAGGTTGTGTTACCGTTAGATAAATTGTACTCCTGAGGCATAAAATGCAAAACAGAAAAAAATGGCTATATTCCTCTAAATCCTTTGGGTTATGATTATCTCTAAAATCTTCATTCCTCCTCCCCCTCACAAAGATGATGCATTTTGGCTATAAGCCCTTATGATGAAGGAAAATGTGCATTTTTGGTCTTGAAAGCAGATGAACTTTTCAGATTGGAATGTTGGGTAGGAGTTTCATAGGAATCTGTATGCTTTATACAGATTAATTCTTGCCAAAAGAAAATTGCTAAACTAATCACAGTACCCTTAAACTATATCATTGATGTAATCAGGCCCAAATTCCTTTGCAGGAAGCACATTTTGCTTTATATGCGACTTGAACTAGTGACATGTAGGTAGAGACTACATAACTAGCAGATTCATAACCTGTGGCTTGCTATGATTGACGAGCACTGCATAGGGTAGTAGGAAGGGGAATTAAAAATAATTGGGAGGGCAGGGAATATTTCCGTTCCAACTTGCTGAAATATTCAGTATTCCCAGGGGAAGCCCATGAGGCAGACAGGAGATGGACAGGACAGCTACTTCAGTAGTAGAAGAAACATTGGACCTCTGGTCAGGAAACTTGCTTCCTCTACTGAGGACAGGAATTTTCTTATGCCTTCCAGGTCATTTTTGCGGAGGTGGGACCCCGAAGACTCTAGCAGACACCAGGTCGACCCCCAGGAAAGGGTCGGAAATTTCTCTAAGTCCTCACTCAGCCATCAGGTCAATCCTGGCTCCCATCCGGCCACCAGGTCAACCCCGGCAGCACACACGTCTGACATCTGAGCAATGGCACCAGGTCACTGAGCTGCTCTAGAAGCAGTTCTTGACTACTCTCAGTAACAAGCAGCAAAAGAATGTAGGACATGGCAACAGATCAGCAGTGAGAACTGCA